AAGCTAGATGTGTCTACAGTCCAGTGTCCTATAATATTTATAATGATTTAGTTGGAGTTGGTCTCTTATAGAAATGAATGCACACAAAATTAGTTGCTTAAGAAGTTTTCAGCACAATGCAGCAGAGAGCCAGAGAATAATCCCAATTAATTTTAAACTGTTTGCCATTTGTAGAACGTTTATAACTTAATAGTCATAGGCTTGTAATTAACTCAACTAAGCCATATGCTTGCTATATACCTACATATATAAGTTATGTTTAAGCTCACTTCTTTAAAAATAAGTTAAAGCACAAGTACGAATTAATTTTAATATGCCATAGAAATTGGAATTGAAATTGAAAACACAATAACCAAAATGAAAAAGGGAAATTTTTGAAATGCGACTCAATAGCCAAATATCTCATCTATTTTATCTCTACAGAATATATTAATTAAATATTGTTATTATATTCTGTATTGAATTGGATTCACATATCTCGAAAACATTGTTTAAACACATTTCATATTAATGTATACGCTCAAAATATATGCTTAGAAAATGAACCCAAAAATAGTTGATAACTTACTAAACTAAACGCATATTTAAATATTATTTATATACACGCTATTGTTGTTACTTATAAGTGAAAACTTAATATCATATATTGCTATTTAATTTTTTTCTACAAGCTTAACAAGTTTTCAGTTATATTTTAAAGTGAATATAAATAAATGCGTTGCAAAAAAAATTAATTAAATTTAATTGTAATTAAAATGTATGAAAAGTGAAATGTGAAGTGCGTGGCACTTTTTCTCGCCATTTATAATTTCCCATAGTTTTTCATAAAAGTTGAAAAGTGCTTGCAGCGCACATTTAACAAGTTGATGAAATGAACTTTTTCAATTAATATAATTTTGACTTGACTTGGCAACATAGCGCTTTAATTCATTATAAGCTCATTAACAGCTTGACGGAATTCCAATTAGAATTGTGTTGTGCGCCAAGACAATGTCCTGGCAGGCATGTTTCAATTCCAATTTAATTTGCTGCACATGTGCAGATTGTGTTATTTGTCAGCCATTCCACTTGGCCAAATTAATTGTGCAATTGCACACGAGACTGCAAAATTTATATATATGTATATATTTAAATATTCCACGAACTTGATGTAACCGGGCTAACCATAAGCATGTGTGTGTGTGTGTGTGTTTCTGTGTTTCTGTGTTTCTGTATGTTTGTTTGTTTGTGTGCGTCCATACATGTCGGGCACAAGGAGCTGCCAAAGGAGTTCATATTTATAAGCGTGGGCAGGCACGCACTTAATTAGAAGCCGCACTAACAGAGGCATGGAAAGACTGACGAATTCCCAACACTGACTGACTGACTGACTGACGGACTGACTAACTGATGGACCGACTAAATGTTTGCTACATTTTGGGCCAGGAATCACTTGCAAAATAGATGAAAATGCAGTGCATAAACTTGTTGAGAGCTATGCAAAGGTTGGGTGGGTGTCTGTCTGTGCTCTGTGGGGTGCTCACTTAGGAACGTGCCCCTGGCTATGTGTTGATAGAGATAAGCGCGTGACAAATACTTAAAGCACGAACATGAAACACCTTTTGTTTTTGGATTAGGTTTGTTCTTAACTCTCTGTTTTAATTATGCCAAAGTTCAGGGTTCCAACTAGCTTCCAGCCTTTAGGTTCGGTCCGTGAAGCTTCCCTCGCTTCCCTTTTTATTTTTAGGCCCAAACCACATTCTTCTTTTGGCTATTTTTGTATTTAAATTGAATGTTCGGGTTCAAAACAGTTCCGATCAAAACCGATTTGCAGTCTGGATCTAAAAATGGATAAAGAAATAATCTTTTCTTATACATCATTGACACTTATATTTGATTAAATTAATCCCAATCTGTCGCAAGTTCTATCACGCACCAAATTCCGTGTGTTGTAAATTCGAATCACGAAAGCAAACACGACACGCGTTCACGTGACTCGCTCATTGTTCGCGTGTGTGTGTGTGTCTGTGTAATTGCTGAATGACAATGCCCTTTCCGTTTCCGCATCAGCCACCTCTCGCACATTCCTTCTACGTGTTTATTTGCAAGTTGTCTTAAATTGGGTAGGTGGTAACGACCAATATACTTGCCTAAAAGCAGCTAAAAGAAAACTTTTAATTTTTCTTTTCGGCTCTGGCAAATGGAATTTATTTGTGCCCCATTAGACCTGTGCTGCGATCCGCTGCTCATTAGTTGTTTCCTCTTCTTTTTGGCATATTTTTGCACCTGCGGGGCTCGGCGTGTGGCACGTTTAATTTGTTTACACAAATCTTGGGCTGTTGAGAGCCGCAGCAAGCGGCATTTGTTTGACTTTCCTTCAGAGCAAAAAAAGTGAACATAAAAAAATGCCAAAAAAAAAATGGGAAACAACTTGAACTACTCAGAAAGTTTTTTGGTGCGTGTGTAACAATTAAACAGCCGCTAAAAAATAGTGACTAATGAGAAAAGTTTTAAGTAGCGGCATTACAAATAAAACTGCCTTTTTAAGTTTGTGCCCCACCCAACTCTTATTTTCCACTTTTTTATTCCTTTCTACTGTATTGAATCTGTGTGTAGGTGTGTGTTGTGTGTGTGCATTGTGCCCTAACTCTGGCCAACAATTTGCCATAACTGAAAGTGTGCTAGCCATAAAGCGTGTTGTTGGCTTAAACACTGAAATTATTGCATAGTTTATTGCCTCGTTTATGCCCTACCTTCTACCTTCGCCCCGCCCCGCGCCCTTTCGCTACGCCTCGCTCAGGCGGCACTTATCAGCGAGCAGAAAATCAGAAACTTTGAGACAACTTCAGCTGTTGCTGATAACCATTGAGGGCGCTCACAATATAAAATACTTTGTCCAAGTATTTGCAATAAGAATATGGGACAAAAGTTTCCGGCGACCTTTATGCGCATTTGGGGAACTCCCGCCGGAAATTGAGCTCCAACTGGGAAATACAGCGGCACGCGTCACAGTATCTGTTTGTTGATTGTAAACAAAGCTGTCAAGGGGGATATATTTTTAGATAGGTATTAGGGCATTTTCAAATGCTTTTATATCCTTAAAAAAAAAGGAGCCTAAAGAAATTTGTGTGTTATGCGTTAGCTGAGAATATTGATTTGTTATCTTAATAGAGGAAATAGCTCTTTGCTAGCTTGAAAAGTTTGCCTACAGATGTTGATCCTTAATATAGCACACTTTTAAGCTCGTGGCTCAGCTTGAGTCGAGCATACCCAATTGTCCGAGGCTCGAGGTTGCTTTTCTTTGCAATTTAACTAAAATATTGTGTCGGAAAGCGCCTCAAAACAGTTTGACGGGCAAATAAACGCAAATTGTTGCGCTCAGAAGTGACATGCAACAAATGAGCATTAGAAATGCGCATACATTCAGCGCGGAAACTTTGAAATTTCAAATTCATGTATCTGTGTGCGAGTGTATGAGTGTGTGTGTGTGTGTGTTTTGCAATTGTGGTTGAAAGTTGGCAATGCTTAGTTAGAGCCATTTGTTTGAGTTGCGGCCATAATTAAATTTGCTGTTGCTAACTTTTAAATCATTTTACAGGCCCGTTAGGTCTGTGTTTTGGTCGAAGAGAAAGAACGACTTTAAATTGATTTTATGCCATTTTGGCTGCCATTTGCGGCTCCCGGCTGCTCGACATGTGTGCAGCCAGCGTGAGCTGAGCTGAGGAAATGTTGTTGCATTGTGGCCATAATGAAATAAACTTGTCACACGTTTCATCGCAAGCCATTTGGCCATTATGCTGGCTTGCCCAGCACCTCTCCACTCCGCTCCAGCTTGAATGCCGTAGTCAAATGCAATAAATGTTGCCCACAGCTGGCTGACAGGATATTTTCATTGGAAATTAAATTACGCATGAAACTTGTTTACAAATCCAAACTTAATCCTTGCTGCCAGTCACTTAGTCAGTTAGTCCGTCAGTCTGTCAGCGGGTGGGCGTGTCCTGTTCTTTGTGCACACATTAACCTTAATTAAGTGACAAACAACAAGCGTTGGTCCCGTTGGGCTGCTGGGCCCGTTGTCCTGTCTTGGAACCCTCTGAAGTTCGGCTCTGTTATACGGCGCCTCAGTTCATTTACAGGCAATTGAATTTTAATAGGATTTCGCTTTTGGCCCAAAAATGTCGCCTTTGGCCCAAGCCCTGCAGCTGTTACCCCGGTGGCCCCATACCTCCCCCGCAAACCCTTGTCACCCGCTGGGCCGCTGCCATCTGCCTCGTCAGTCGATTGTCAAGTGTCCATTTGCATATTTGTCGTTTTCAGTTGCGCAACTTCTTGGGTCCCATTGGCCATTGGCTTTTATTTTGTTCGCTCGTAATTCAATTTATTTGCAATGCTCGCGCATTTTCGTAAGAAACTGAAACGATTTCTCAGACAGTACGCCTTGTTCTTCTTATAACTACTTTTGGAATGAAGTTCGTTGCGGTTAAAGCAGCCACAAGCCCAGTTAAAGGCCGTCTTAACGCATCATTTAAGCCGCTGACTGGAGAGTGTTGGTTGGAGGGGGGGGGGGGGGGGGGGGAGTGGGGAATTGTCTATGCTCTGCTTTTAATTAAAGATTAAATGTGCTAAATTGTGCGGCCTTTGGCAGCAGAAGTTGGCTTTAATGTCCTTGCTGATTGTTGTGTTTGTGGCCCGAAGCAGCTGCTCGGTCGGTGGACAGGCAAGCGTTCATCCATTTGGCCATCCATCAATCAATCAATTACGCTTAGAAGTGCGCCAGGACATAAGGGAATCGCAATAAAACGTGCCTCAAGCTCAGTTTTTGTCAGCGAAATTTAACGACCAACTTTTTGCTAACAACAATGAATTGAAATGTAACGCGCCAAGAGCTAGACATTCAGCTCATTGCCCCCTCCTCCTCCTCCTTCTCCTCAACATATATGTATTTTAGCCAACTTGAAGCTTTTAGTAAGCTTTAAAGTATAAAAAAACTATCACAGTTTCAATTGGCATATCTATTTTGCTAGCTTTGTAGCAGCAAATAATAATAATTGTAGAAATCATTTTAGTTTTTAGCCAGCGGCATTTTTTTGTCTGATTGTTGCGGCCATTCTATTGATTTGTGTTTTTAATCAAGCATCTTATTGTTTGATTTTTACAGATAGATTTATAGCACACATGTTGTTGGTCATATTTAAAAAATTTTACACAGTATTTACAGCGTTTATTATTTGCTGTTTTCATTTATTTAATACACATGCCGCCCATGTCCTGCCAATCTTTTGTCCGCCCTCACATTTGACCGTAAATGCTGCTAAGCTGCAAAACAATTATTTAACTGAATGGTCGGACTGAAAAGTGTTTTATGCTGTCAGTCGGGCAGCATGTCCTGCGTGGGTCTGCAGAACAACAGGAATCAGGACAAACATTTTAAATGAAAATCAACACAAAATACAATGGAGTGTTTATAAGCCCGGCTGTTGTTTGTCCGCTGTTGACACTGAGTACATAAAACAACAACCAATCTTAGTGTTCAAATTAAAATAATATTTATTGAGTATACAGCTTAAGATATATTTAGAATATCACTTCAGCTAATACCTATTATTTTCAAACAGAGTCCTTTTGAAGAATACTGTTGCCCAAAAACGATTCTTTTTTAAAGTCAACCTTTTCTGATGATTTTTGAATAATGTCGGACAAATAATGTTAGATTTTGGGATCATATAAACCATTTTGGACTCGTAAGGATCATCACTATCGATTGACATTGAAATCTAATTTTTGACCCAAATCGATAAAAATGAAAGGACATTACATCGACCATCTTAAGGACCATTCTGATGTCCTTTGGACAACACGTAGTCCTTGTCCTGCCAACTAAGAATATGTAATAAAAAGGACGAAAATCCTCCAAGGAGCTGAGGAAAGCAGATGTTTTGTCGGGAGAGATAAATCGCTGTAGCCCGGCCGTATCCTTGCCAATCATGATGCCCATTGGCCAACCGTAAGTCCTCATCCCTCCAATTCAGAATATATATTGAAAAGGACGTAAGTCCTTTAGACAGCCTTGATATGAGTAAAATTCTTTCGTAAATTAACATAGCCATAACACGGCCGTATCCTTGCAGATCCTGACAAGTCGTGTGTCAAGCAAATCGTATAAACAAGGACCATAAACTGTCCAAAGGACAACAAAATCGTCCTTGCCGTTTCCGATATATGGCTAATTTTCTAAAAAGGACATTTTTTAATTGGCCACAACTTGGCCAAATCCTTAAGGATATCGGAAGGATATGCATTTTTAAACTCGTGGTGAGCAGAACTATCGATTGGCATTCAAGGATTTCCAGGATTCGACAAAAAATTTCATCGAAATTTATCCTAGGGGGTTAGTCGCAAAATTGGCCAAAATCGAAAATATCCCGGCTAACTTCGCCATTTGAAGGACTATCGGGATGTCCTTTGGCCAGTAGATAGTCCTCTCCTTCCCATTGAAGAATTTACAACCCGAAGGACGAAAGTCCTTCAGACAAAAAAGTTTTAAGGACAATTTTGCATACTAAAAATAGGCCATAGCTCGGCTGTATCCTTGCATATCCTTGCGAGTCATATGTCAAAAAAATTGTATTAACCAGGACTACAAGCTGGCCAAATTTCATTAGGATCGTCCTTGTAGTTTGGCAGATATTTAAGGATTTGTGTTTTCGGGCCATTTTCGTGCGCTCCGCGACTGAAATTTTACAAGTCAAAATACAAGTCCTGGGGCTCTTAGATTACCCCATATTTTTTTGATGCAGATCGATGCAGGGGGTCTAAAGGATCCTAACGCACCATGTCCTTTGAAAATCTGCAAGGACATGCCCGAGTTATGGCCTATTTTCCTTACATAAAATGCTTTTATATACATATACATAATTATTTAATTTAAATGTGTTTTTTTCTTTTCAGACTCACAAATTAAGGACTACAATGAGCTCTAAGGACCTCCACGACTGATAAAGCATATTTTCCCAGGATCGGAATTTATTTAATCCAGATATAGTTATTTTAAGTTTAAATAAACTAAATTTTGTAAATTTAAACATAAATAAATGAATTATTTAAAATAAAAAACGAAATACCTGTTTTTTTTATTTAAAAATTCAAAAATCAACGGTCGTTTGCCTACCCGTCAGCAACGGCTGTTGGCAACCGCTGGCTGCCGAGATTTTGCTTAAAATCTGCCAAAATACCAGGCGAACAGAAATGCTCAGCAAGCAGATGCACCAAATTTTTTTTTGCAAAAATGATGACTTGCAAGTTTTTTAACAGTTCACTGTTAAGCGTCTGTTATTTAACGTATACTGTAAAGTCGCTGTTAGTTAACATACCAGTGTTAACAGCCCCTGCTAAAAGGGGGCGTCAGACTGGCAAAAATACCAGGCGAACAGAAATGCCCAGAAGGTCGACGTACAATATTTTTTGCCGAAAAATTTCATTGCATACCCTCACGGGGCGCCCTCTTCGAAAGCTACGCCCCAAATTTGCACTAAAATTCCACTCAAATACCAGGCGAACAGAAATGCAAAGAAGGTCGACGAGTGCTTTGAACTTAAATTTTCATTGCATAGCATTAAGGGGCAAAAATGTAACTCAATTAAAATGAGTAATGTTAAATAGCAGTTTATGTAAAATAAGTGCCGTAAGGCGGATTTTACACAACAGCTGCAGCTGCAGGTAGTGTAAAAGGGCTCCTGAAAGAAAAATCATACATGTTTTTGGACCATTGCAATGCACATTTTGCAGGTATCTGGTCCTTTAGGTTCCCAAGGACTATATCGATGGTATGGTATAACCAAGGATATGCTAGTCAACTTGAAACCATCCAGGGGGCGGGACTGTTGCTGGGGGCGGCTGTAAAAGAAAATCATACACATTTTGGACTCTGTTCCTACGCATTTTGCAAGAACTTTCTCCTTTAGGTTCGCTAGGACTTTATCCATGATATGGAGTAACCAAGGATGTATAGGTCAACTAGGTACCAAAAATAGCGATCATGTTGTCAATGGGCGTGGCAGATTTGGCTGAAAAATACAAAATTATGTCATAATCTCGCGCAGGTCCGCCGTTCCCAAGTTATTTTGTTATTTTAAAGACGACATATTTATTTATTGATTATATGTTGTCCATGAATGTTGGCAGATTATGCTGAAAAAGACAAAATGAAAAATATATTAGTTTTTTTAAACTAAAATACATCGTCTTAATTATCTTAGACTTTGGGAAGATATATGCACCTTTAAGGATTCGTGACTCTTTTTTATCGACAGAATTCTACGAAATGTTGATATGAGAATCGACGCAAATTGGCAACCACGAACAACAAATTCATAATCGATGTGCTTAAAAAAGTTGACCAAAAAACGATTCGTTTGTAAAGTCATTTTTGGCTCGTAAGTAACAGTACTATGGAATTGGCATTAGATGGATGAAAATCTAATTTTTGACCCAAATCGTCGAAAAAGCAAGCATCACGTTTTTTCTCAAAATCGGGGTCGGTTCAAAAATAAAAACTGTTTTGATGATTTTTTTTAAATATCTCGGGTAAAAATCGTCTGATTTTGAAATGTTATACCTATTTGATTTTGGTCGGATCCCTACTTTCAATTGGCATTCAAACAAATTTAATAAATCGCTTGTAATATCCGAGATATTCCTGATTATGTAAACATAAATGCAGATCAGGTCGACAACAAAACTGCAAATGGCTTACAGTCAACTTCTATTCTACTACATACCTTCAGTGTAGTTGTAAGCAGCTGCTGCAGCTCATGTTAAAGGCAATGCAAGCAGTTCATCAAGCAGTTAAAGTGCATTCTACTAAGCAGCGGATGCAGATTCTGTTAATGAATATACATACTCATTTATGGATAATTTCCGTGTGAATTATGATTAGGTGTTCAATATATGCAAGGTATAATTGTAGAAAATAAAAAGTTAAACCTAAAGTGTAACATATACAAATGCCAAAATATCTTTCGCCAGCCTTAAGAGCATCGTATACAAAATACTATCATGTTAACATGTGTTTTTTTAATAAGCAAAATTATGGGTATATTCTGCTGTAGAGCAGTCGATGTTGTCAGTTTGGGAATCATATTGGCAGCTACATAGAATAAAATAATAAATATTGCAACAGTCCTCAGTGTTCTTCAGCTTTGGGTATCTGTTAGCCAAGCCAGCTTGCTAAGAGCCTTTTTGCGGCATTAATTCAGAGCTGTCAGAGCTATTGCAGCTGCATGGCTAAGAGCGACTTGTCACAGTTGCCGTAGCCGCCACATCATTATGACGCCGCAGCGATACTTAAATACAAACAGTTACAGATACAGCAAGAAATGGATGGACATACATTACATATATACTCTCTGGATACATATATGTGGCGTGTGTATTGCATATATCATGGCACGGCAAAGTACTTTTCATGGCTGCGGAAAACTGCTGTTGACACAATTCCGCACTGTGATTTCTGCTGTGATATCTGCTGTCCCATTTTATTTACGCGATTGCAATTTATCGAAGTTCGTTGAGTTTTTATTTTATACAAGCTGTTTGCACATGGCGCAATGTCACAATTGCAACTGCTGCCAACTGCAAGTCGCAAGTTGCACGTGGCAGCTTTTCCCCAATTGCTGCATTGTCAAAAGTTGAAACAAGCGACCAATCAGCGGCAGAGAAAGAACGGGTAGCAAGGGTAGATGTTATTTATTTATTTGCATTGCGATTAATTGAATCAGCGTGTTGTTTATTAGCTGTCTCGCAGATCCCTTCAGGCACAGCTCGCAGGGGACATTCAGCTTGCTCGACGTGCAGCGTGTGCAATTTTAAGTACTTTGAATAATTGTCATGTTTTGTTCGTAATTAATACAATTAGTGTGCTGTGCGCTAAAACGCAAGCACAAGCAAAAACCCTGCCGGGCTGGGATAACACGGCGTATGCGCAATATTTCTTGTATTTATTAAATTTAAATTGAAAAAGCCGCGCATTCCACACATAAGTTTTAATTGATCAATTAATTATTAGATTAAGTGGCGACTTAATTAAACATTAAACCATTTGTCGCATGCGTGCGATTAATTATTAATTAAATGCGGCACAAAGAGGCAGTAAAACGTAATAGATTCCGCTTGAATCGGACCATTTGTATACCCTTCGACCGTAACCAGGACTTAGCAGCTTTGTTAATACAATTAGAAACGTCTTTTGTATGGCCTTATCTAACTTGTGTACTTGGCCATGGCTACGATGGCAATTCAATTGCATTTGTATCTGTGACATTAACACTGATTTATACGCCATAAAACATCGACTGGACGCGCAAAGGCTGTGACTCTGCGGAATAAATGTTTTCTTGTGCCATAAAACAGATGTAAAAAAAAAGTTGAGCAACCGACTGAGAGGGACGTATCCGAGTTAAATATACATTCTTGATTGTTTGGCTGCAGGTTATATAAAAACAACTTTAGAAATGGGAAAGATATTGAAAAGAACTTAAAACAAATAACAACTTAAACAGGGTATGTGCTAGTCGTGCACTCTCGACTGCACTCCTTATATTTGTGTTCTTTTATATTTTCGCATAAAAAAAACCAAATACGAGTCGCACATTTGATTAGCCTGGTTACGAGCACCTTTTATATAGCTGTCAATAATTGTGGGTGGATATGCGGGTGGATGGGCGGTTGCTTGGGTGGTTGCCCTAACATTGTCATTTTTGGTTTAATTTGAATGGAAAACCCGTTAATGCAAAGTAAACACAACTGTTAAATCAAGTCGCAAACTCATTGTTTATCCAAGGTAATTGCGTACAGGTGGGACAGCAAAATGTTTGTTTGTTTGTTTAATGAACCCTTTCATTAGAGGGTCCGAGTACGTGCAAAGGGGCTCCCTGTGGGTCATTCTGGGTCTCTGTCTCTTGTGGGTGCGTGTGACTGTGTGCTGGTGTGCTTATGTGGTTTATTCTTTTTTTCTTTTATTATTATTATGCTGGCGACATTTTAATTGTGCTCAATGCATATTTTATAAGCCGAGCACTAAGAGTTTTAGCCTAAGCGACAGCTAAGCCAAATTGGATACTCTCTGTAACAGGGCCGTGCCTCAACCGAGTGCCTTGCCGCATTGTGGCGGATCGTAAGAGTGTTGCAGCCGCAGGTGCGCTTAGCATGCACTTTAATAAAGTTCTCAAAGTACGCCAAGTGGCGCATTGTCTTACGTTAGGCGAATGGCGTGGGCGGTTTCTTGAGTTGCAGAGCCAAAGGCAACTAAGCTCAATCAATTCTAAAGACTCAAATTGAAAAAAAGTGTTCTCTATTCTCTAAAATATTTTGAATGCAATATATCTACTGCTCGAAAGCAAACCTCAGGCTGTTGTCTTCAATCACGAGACGTTGTTAAGACGATATCCATATTAGCTGAAACAGTTTTGCTATAACAGCTTTTGTACAATCAATTAAAGCAGTTAAGCCAATTAGGTTGTGCTATTTCGCTCTCTTCTCATACTTGCCTCTCATTAATTGTTTTATCGTTAGCATATCTTCAAAGTTTTAATACATAGTCGTCCTTTTTCTCCCCTTCTTCACTCCGTTTCCTCTTTTGCTTAGATTTCTTTTTTTGATTCCCCTATGTGCATCATTCTTAATCCTGAAAAAAAAAAATTTCAATTAATTACCATATCATTTGAACACAGCTTCAATCGAGCGGCACAGCTTACAATTTTGACACTTTCGCTTCTTTTTTTTACAAGCAATGTTACTTTCCTTTACTAATGGTTTTCTTAAGGTTGTACCACTGATAAGATTTCTTAAACCTTAAAATCACCTGTTGACTTAGTAAGAAAAAAAATAGGGAATGCTCCCATAGCTGGATATCTTCCAAAGGCAAATAAAAACACCGAGACAGTGGATGTTCAGTAATGGTAGCTTACACTCTATTTATCATGGAGGATAATCAAATTATTCGTGTATAGAACGTTAGATTCTATTAAATAAATCTGACTTGCTGATAGGAAATGGCAATATTCTGATTATATATTG